TACACACACACACACACACACATATATATATATATACACACACACACACACACACATATATATATATACACACACACACACACATATATATATATATATATATATATATATATATACACACATACATACATACACACACACACAGTATGTTAGTGGTAGCCGATGTTCTAGGAGAAACTTTTCAGACATTCGAAGTCAGCACCATGGACAGTGAGAATCATCAACATAAAGTTGAATTAATTCTGACGCAATGAGAACCAGCAATATATCGTCCACCCATCGTGTAAATATTTGTCCTGTTCGGGGGCGATGGGGAAACAGTAATTCGATGTAATTTTAAAAGTTATACACGAGCTTCCGCAGCTTTTTGATGTATATTCGATGTAGATAAACAATGAAATAATAATGATAAAAATAACAATAATAATTTCTAGCTATCGAAAAGATCAGGGGCCAAGTGATGTTTACCTAGGGCTTGACTTTTTTTCTTAAAGGAAGATTAATTGGCATCGGGGTTAAAATACTCGGGGCCCGAATGATCAGAACAACTATTACAATGTGGACTATAGACGTGCAAGTGAGCCACACGACGAAAAGGAAAACGGTCATCACCTAGACCTACATTAAGCCATGCCCAAAATTGAGCTTAATCACCAATCCCGGGAGACCACTGTAGGCATTTTCCTCTTAACACATTAATTAACCCAGTTTTAAAGTTGACTGCACAGCAGCTGCCCCGCCTCCAACCGAGCCGCTTTAATGTATAACAGTGATAGAACAAAAACACGGCACGGAAAGTTCAGACTGCTCAGCAATTGGCACAAGGTTCACGGAAACCTTGGACCCTCCGTCCTCATATTAACATCTCAGGATTAGGTGTGGAAGAGAGAGAACATGCCAGAGTTATTAAACGACGATCGATATTAATGAATTAGACGTATATCCTTTGAAGAGGAATACTCTTCGAAATAGACACCAACCAGTGTACATTAAGGGACTTTTACGGATTAGTGTTACATGTACAGGTCTATTAAAGGGAATCCCATACAATGTGACCTTTTAAATTATTCCTGTGTGCCTGAAATATATCGTAGCAGCAATCAGTTCGAAATACTGGTTTTCAAGCATTAATTCACTGACGTTTGGCTCAGAAAATGAAGGGAATACCAAGTAAACATTCAAAACCGCTTGGATGGATATCTGTTTTAGCACCAAGGATTCTGGATCCTGGGACTTAGACACCAGGAAGGTTTGATTTGTTTGGTGCAGTAATTAGAATATGCATGGGCATGTTAAACACATAAACTTAAAGATGTACAGTACGGTGCAAAAGTGTTAGGCAGTGAAAAGACATGTCTAAAGCTATTTATCTGGGTAGTAAGTGCACATTTGTTCAGAACAAAAGCAGTTTGACATTAATTAGAACATGCAAGTTAAGAGTTACGTAATAAAAACTAGTAAAAATTTCTTGGCCGGCTAGACGAACACGGCTTCTGTTCCCAAACCTCTCCTGTTCCCAAACCTCTCCTCGGTGCTATCACGGTAATAAAGGGTATTCTGAAACCCTTACAACAAAATTAGCCGGAAGCCCCCAGCCTCCCAGGGGATTTTATCGCTGACAGCAGTATTTGAAAATGCCGGAATACTGCTGCTTTTTAAAATACCGTATACCTCGGTTTAATGTCTGGACAGTATGAAAAGTCAGATATGCGGGTACCTCCGACCCTGCTCATGCACCTGCTCACCATAACAACTACAACAACTCTTCTTCCTCAACTTCTTCGTTGTTGACCGCTGCTCTGCAAAAGTCAGATCTGCCACCTAATGGAAATACCAAATCAATCTAGCACGTGCGCTGTCGAAGCGCAAGGTTTCCACTGTAGACATAAAAGGGTGAATCTCAATATGCGTGCCCAGTCCAAATACTCAAGAACAGAAGTACAGAGGACGGTGAAAATCCCCAGATGTTGGTCTTGCTCCTCTATAAATATCAAGGATACATCTGTTGCACCCTCACCAAATGAGAACAATCCCAAGATTCACTGCATCTCAAGTTTGTTCTTGGGAGGCAAGTTAGCAAGACCGCCCTTGCCAAGACCACAAATACGATCTTTGTGTTCTTGGTATTGAAAAACACCCAGAATTTTAGCTGCGGCCAATGTGCGTGTAGCCATCTGCAGCCAACCCCCGATGATGAAAATTACGTCAAGTCCCCTCATCCGCAAGCGAAAGCCCACTTAGAAAAGTGAAATACGAACTGACCTTCACCAGACATGGTTAGGCGCTGTCAGGGGGATCAGGGTATCCGTTACCCAGGTATAGGTACCATGTTGGACTACGTATTTCACCTGGCAATGTATCGTCAAAGAGCCAATTATATTTTCAACCGGCATTTGTCACCACTTCAGGACATTCTCCGTTTAGGAACAGACTCTCATTATTGAGCTGAATTCCCCCTGAAGTACCGACTGAACAGACGCAAAGCAGGAAACCACATTTCTGCGGGCTGCCTGAACAAACAGGCATTCAACTCAATACACCGCTGATCCATCACATAAAACCTAAACAGAAATAAGATCTCTCAATAAATAACAAAAACAAACACACTTTTGGAGGTTGATCCCTGGCAGGCAGCGAGAAGAAAACCCATTATGAAGCCACAAGAGAATAAAAGCAGCAGATAAGACAGCAACAGTCGCTAGTGTTTTATTTTTAACAGCACACACAGACCCAGAGCGTGACTGACAGGAGAAGCTTCTTGGTTGGTAAACTCTCGATTGCCTGGGGAGTGCGTACAGGCAGGAAGGGGACACGTTTTAAAACATGTTCTTGGTAAGAAAAAACGCATGTCTTGTTCTCTTTCTTAACTTATGAAAAGGAAACACAAAGCTGATCACATTATTCAATCATGTGTCATTCCGTGTACACAAAGTCTGCTGATTACTGAGGCTAAACGGCACTCCCACTACTCACACACTCATGTTATTTTGACATGTCTTGTTCCTGCTCATTCAGCCTTGGTGTATTGTCAGAGCAGTCCCTTAAAAATAGCAAGAAAGTAATATTATCAGAAAGTTGTTTTTTTTTTAAATGCCGTCTGGAACTTAATACAAGTTTTTAGCAACTACAGACATCCAGAGACTTGGACTGCAGTTGAAGAAAAAAATTGGAGATCTCCCCAAAAACATTCAGCCTGACCAGCGACACGAATGGCCTCACCGCAGTAAGCCGGGGACCTCCCAGCAATCCGGCCGAGCTTGCCGACACGAGTGAGACACATTTAGGGGACGGGGGGGGAGTTGGAGTAAGGGAAGTGGGGAGAGAGATAGAGAGACGCCTATGCTGTGCTTTAACTGATTTCTAAAGAACGAGATGCAGAAATCAGGTGCAAATGATCAAGAAGTACTGAGGTGGGGGCTTGTGGGGGGAAGGGGACGGCCTCACGGGCTGGCTTGACAGGAGTTCTGTGTGCTGACAGCATTTTCCGAGCGAAAACAGCCAGCGAACCCCCGCGCGCACCAACACATCGGGAGCCCAAGACGGCAACGGCAGGGGCTTCACAGACAAGACTCCGCTACAGAAACGTATAAAACCGGGGGCTCCGTCTGTCCCAGCGTCCGCTGCCGCTGCTCCCAGAATCCCCCGAAAATGCCAGCGGCAGTGTTCATCTCCCGGGGCCTCGTCTCTCTGGGCCTGCGCCTGCGCCCCACCAGGGCAGGGGGGGAGGGCAAAGACACTACACTTTTCAGAGGTGTGGGGGGGAGTGTGGGAGAATCCGTCGGCAGTCAATGGGGAGGGCTTCAAAAAAAATGGAAAAAAGAAAACCAAAAAAACATGATTGGGCCATAAGAAGCCCCACTGGGCCAATCACCAGAGTCGATGCTGGTGGAGGTTTCTGCTGAGGACGGAGCGGACGTCTGCAGTGAACCTGAGAGAATGAGAGGGAGGTTGTAATGACTTTTTGTCAAGAGAAACATACTGGCATGTCATTCTCGGCCCAGGTGCATTGTGGGAGCTGGAATTCAAATCCTGACACTTACCGTAGTGCGTCCAGCATGGGCAGCAGGTTGAGAAGTGCAGTGTCACTGGGGTCACTGAACCATGACTTTATGGGTATTGCATTGTCTGCAAGGCAAACCGGAGTCAAACAGGAAGTGAGGTAAACGGCGACATTCTGAGTACAGACGAAGGCGGCGTACGCACAGCATCTGCAGTTCACCTGCAGGCCATCGGGGGGGCGGGGCAGCTTGCTGACACTCACCTGGGTGGCCCCTGTAGGCTCCTGGCGAGTTGTCCAGGATGACTATGCTGGAGAGGTCACTGTGTACCACAGAGAGGTCTTTGATGTAACTGCCCAGGTCGAGTGTACAGTGCTGCGGAAAGGAAAGGTGAGATCCTCCACGTGACAGTGCAACAGTGAGTCAAAAAGTGTGACAGGGCAGTGAGTCAGACAGCCGGCGGAGCGGGGGGGGGGCGCCAGGAGTTACCTGCCGGTAGTATCTGCGCTTCAGGATGCTCCTGTTGTTATCAAGTCTGTCGGCCACGGCGGAGCCGTAGATCTCCATGCTGGCGGTAAACACCACCAGCTCGTACCACTGACTCACCTGCGGGGGAGGACAGGATCGGTGAATCCTAAGAGAGAAACGGGGGAGGCCTTTCTGCTGTTTCTCAGTCAAGGTGTTCTGAGGTGCATTTTGAGTTGTCAGAGTCACTGTGTCATGGGGTCACGGTGGCCCCCGGGAGTTACACTGTCAACCCAGGGCTGATGGTTAAAGATGCTGGCAACAGAACCCACATTTTATCGCATTACAACCGATACTAGGACCGATGGATGGTGGAGACCCGGCGATCGCCACTGACGGTGGGTGGGAGGGTCAAAGATCAGCAGGGCAGCACAAAAGGGTCAAACCCAGAGGCTACAGCAGATACTGACATTTGGCTTTTTTTTTTTTGAGAAAGGAGGGTCAGGGTCCCTCATGCACCTGGGGGGCGTTACTCAAAGGGCCAACGGTGAACCCTGGGATCTGAACCAGCAACCTTCTGATTACACAAACGGTGCCCCAGCCACGCTGAAATGCCACGCTGTCACCTGACCTCCAGATAAAAGAGCAGCGATTTCCACTCACCACTTCCAGGAAGAAGTCCACGTGAGGCCTTTTATGCACAAAGAACCTGACCGGGTGCTTATCTATCACCACCTGGAAGAGAAGGGGACAGAAACAACATGTCACGGACGCCATCCTACCCCCCACGGCACAGGAACACTCGCTGAGCATGCTCAGTTGTGAAAGTGTGCTTTGGTGCCGAGGATCAAGGTGCATTGTGGGTAATACTGCAGGTCCCAGGGTTACATACTGTTTTCAGTGTTGTAAACCTTTAAAAACAAAGCAGCCCCAACTGTTAACCCTTTCAGGCATCCTAAGGGAGCATCTATACCAGGGGTGTCAAACTCCAGTCCTGGGGGGCCAGAGCTCTATGTAGCTTAGTTCTATCCCTGTTCCACGACAAATGATTCAGCTCAAATGCTGTGTGGTAATTAGCCCAAGGAGTTGAATCAGGTGTGTTAAATGAGGGGAAACCCAAAAATGTGCAGGGCTCTGGCCCCCCAGGACTGGAGTTTGACACCCCTGATCTATATGCATGAAAGGTGCTGAATGAGGCGAGGACGTAAAGACACAGGAAGTCGCACGTGTCAGACAAGAGGGGGGTGGAAAAGCAGGCTCACTTTGAGGATGAAGTCCGGCGGGGTGCCGGGCCGCACACTGGGCCTCAGGACGCCGTCGTGGTGCGAGTGGATTAGCGTCTCATCCAGGTCCAGCACCAGAACCTTCCTCTTAACTGCATCTGAAAGGTGTAGAGCCCCCTCCTAATCAAATGCACTGGCTACTTGATAATTTACCGAATGTAATAACCATACCTATTTATGCAGCTGGATATTTCAGGGTAATTCACACAGGCCCCCAGATGGGATACCAACCTACTGAAACTGTTCCCTTCCGCAAGTCACCTGCGTAGACCAGTCATACCGCCTTTTACCATTACATTTAATTTGACCCAACAACCTTCTGATCACATGCACGGCCACCTAACCGCCTGAGCCACGCCCTCCCCCACCACGTCTACAGGCCTCGTGTGGGCCGGAGCCTCCAGGACCCCAGAAGGGAAGCATATACTTACTGAGCCGGCTTCTGGAGATGGACGACAGGGGTAAGAGGTCGTAACGCACTGTCTGATACTGGATGATCTGCAGCAGGGGGGACACAGGAATCGGGGGGGGGGGGGGGGCAGAAGATGACAGCAATACAGGCCATTACTTCGGGTACCTTGAGTTTTGCATTCTCACCAGCTTGATGCCGATATCTTGGGGATCTTTACATGAGCAACGCGATAATGCCAACCTACACGATTCTCGTGCCTCGAAACTATCAGGCAAACATGTAAATAAATACTTTTAACCTGTCAGAAGACACTTTGCATGTTAATAAATTCAGCCTTCATAGTATAAGCTTCAGGCAGTTAATAAACAGTGGCATTTCTTGTTGATAAGAGTTTGACTTTTCGATCATCTCGGGATTTCAGTAATGTGCACTTTACCAGCTATAATGTTGTTCCACAGCATGACAATGTTAAACCATGACTCTATATATATTATCTTAGAATAGATACATATCTAACTCTATATAAATCATGGGTGCAAAATCGGACAATGTGTTCGACCAATATATTAGTTAAGTTCTCCCCAAACGAGCTCGATGGGCCGAAAGGCCTCCTCTCGTTTGTATAGTTCTTATGTTCTAATAGGACCTGCTGTCACATGCAATGACATCAGATACGTCTGTTACAGTGTGTCCAAATTGAGCCTTTTCCTTTCCAAACAAACAGTCGTTTGTTGCTAAGCAAGCTGTCAGCCTACTAACAAGTGGGTGTCTCACTTAAATGTGAGAGCAGTGTTTCTCAGCCCAGTGCTCGTGCACCACCAGACAATTCCACATTTTTGTTTTTCCCCGGCTTGCTGCACATCTGAACCAAACAATCAGGAACACCACATCCGTGCATACTAAAACAACAGAAGTTAATTTGCCAGCTGTGTATGATTTCCTTATATTGATAAGACTAATTTATATCAAGATTTCTGTGAAGACCTTTTTAGGGCACGCGTCATCAGTTACTCTAAGCATGCCTGTTACTTTGTACATGCGACTATTATGCATGTTGCTATTCTTTAATAAAAAAATAAAAACAGGACTTTTTTTTCTCGTGTCGATTTGTTCGCTCACCGTGCGGAGGTGCTTCCTGAGAATGCACAATATGAAGCCCCATATTCTGGACGTGACTCCGAGGAAAGTGCGGATCCAGAGTAAACACTGCCGGGTCTTCAGCATGTCGACGACGTAGAAAAGGGACAACGAAAGGGATCGGAGAAGCGGGGAGAGAAGGTATATTCCACACAGGCGTGAAGCCAGTCCCCAAAGGGGACCACCCTCCCAGGACCACCACAAAGTACCACAGAGTCGTATGCGATTAGCCTGTCCGAATGAGAACCAAGCAAGCAAACTGCTCTGTCTTGTTAACTGGCTTGCTAGTGTGAGATCAGTTCTTCGATGTCGCATTCACCTATTAAAATTAAAATATAAAATACGAAAAAATGGCAAATTATAAATTTGACATTAAAAATGCAATGTGCAAAAAGCAGGCAGTCAACCAAGTTGCAGACCGGTATTCCTAGGCTGCTGACCCTATGTGGTCTAGACTCTAGTACTCTTTAAGACTGGCTTATTTTAACCTCAGAAACTTCTCATTTTTGCACGCTACCGCGGACAAATGACAAACACTACCAAAAAGTACAACGACACCAAGAGTGCATTTCAGTTATCAGTGAATTCAGAACCTTACTGCGAGTCGCCATTGCCGTTCTTACGTCACTTCCGCGAAGGGAAAAACTGGAATTTTTTCCCCTCGGTCGCTGGATCTGTTCTCAATTCGACCGCCGTACTCTGCTCAACTTTGCTGCTTTTCCCTTTTTTCATTTGTATTTAAAGTCATCTCATGTAGACCAAAATATAGCGAATGCTGTATATTTTTATTTGCGGTTACATTAAGGACTGAGACATGCTTTTCTGCTATTAGTCATTTGAATTAATAGTTTTAAGCTTTACCTAACTATTTTTCTGCAACGACTTCCGTTATTTAGAGCTCAGTCAGATAGATATAGTCTGGTGGGCAATAACTTTCACCAGTTGTTGATGTCAAAATATAGCGTTAATAGTAAATATAACTTATTCTAAATCGTTTGAACAGTTTTATCAGTTGAAAAAGTTTTATATATAATTATAAGTGCATGATTTAACGCACCATTATTTAGATATATCGTGCATTCCTCATAGTGTCATGTCTCTGGATCAGATCCGACTTGAATAATCATGCTGAATAGCTACTTATGCTATGTGTAGATCTATATCAAACCAATTGCATTTAAACAACAGAAAAACACAGATTGTAGGCCAACGTGTACATGGGATAGTGACTGACTTAAAGACAATTTTAAATTCTACAGATTGGCCTATAGGAAAATTGAAGTTTGGGTGTAAAGGAATTATTCAATAGTACAGTATCAGTTACCTAATTTAATTCAATAATTTTGGTTAACAGTGATAAACAAAAGTAACAATTTTATATTTTAAAAGTAAATTTTATGAATCAGTATTCATAAAATTGTTGCTAAGACTGATGACGAATTCTTTTTTCAGACTTTTAATATTACATCACAGTTTATTGATGGAGGTTATCTGAGATCAGTCGATCAGGATTTGGAGGAGGAACCAATAAAATAAACAAAGACAACTGACAAAAAAGCTTTTTTCGGAAGTATTTGAAGAGTTTTCGTGGGTTTTAGCTACGGTACCTGACGCTTGATAAGCGAAACCCAGGAGGACTACATTACCCATAGGTCTCAGAACTAATAGCGACGTTCCTGTGGAGAACGTAGGGGGCGCTCGTGGAGCCGGTGCCCATAGTCACTGGTCATGGTGACGCTATAGAGACGTGAGCACGCAGGGCTCTGAGGGGAGGCGAATTTGAGAACTTTCTCTGTGTGCTGAAGAAGAAAAAGGAGAATTTATGTTTGTTTAAACATATTTGCTTCAGGGTCTTTCAGCAACGCCGCTGCAGGGAAAAAAACGTCTTAGAACCACCTTAAGGAGTTTACAGCAACCGGCCCGACTACGACGCTCGAAGCGGGGAGACCGCGCTAAGCTAGCTGGCTAACTGTCTCCGAGGACTTACCGGGACCGACTGTCTGACAGTTATTTCGGAGCGAGGGCGACGGCGGCGGGGGGTGGCGGTGGTGCCCCCCGAACTGCGCTTTTCCTTTCTCCGGACTGGTTGAAGACAAAGGGCCGCTGTGTCGCCCTAGAGCGGCCGCCTGCTTCCCTGGCCGGAGCTGCGGCTCCGTAGTGCCGGGGAGAAGAGCACGACGCAGACCGCTGCCGACCGAGAGGCCCCCCGGGTGACAATGCTTGGGATTATGGCCGAGCATCAAGGTGCCGCCACTTTGCTCTCCGCCCGTCAGAATCACATGATAGCCAGGATAGTGCCGGAGCAGGGGGCGAATCGGCGCGTTTTAAAGGGTGGCTCGCAAGCGAAAGCCGCCTCGACTCGGACGGCTAAGCCGTCAGGAGACCCCGCCGATCGCGTCCACCGGGCGCGGTTGCAAACGTCGGTGGTGCCGGCGGCGAGGCTGGGTGGGGGAGCCGGCAGGAGATGGAGGGGCTAGCCGAATGGGGGAGGGAAGAGAGGCTGCAATAAGTGCTTGTTCTATTTAAAAAGAAACTTTATCGGTCATGGGTGGCTGTGTAGGGGGGCTTCCCCTCGCAGCCTGCCTCTTTACCCGTGTAGCTAATGTCACCCTGGATGGACGTATGGCCGGGCTGATTTGCTGCTTTTACAAGCGGCTCTAGCGCAGCCATTTATCCAGATGGCACCGGTACGACTCGTCCGTCTGTAGAAAGCCGAGCAAAGGCAGCGTTTTTATTTTATCAGGCTGACTGGGCAGTGATCTCTAATGTGTGGTTAAAGAATAGTCGGGGGGGGGGGGTTTCGAAGTAACCTTAATTAACCAGCTAGTTAGCTGCACCAACTAATCTCGCTGCAGCCTGACCGTAGCCGAGTCTTTTGGCGTTTGGGCCGCACGTTGTCGAAACGTACAGGAGCCGGCGCTTTGATTTCCTGTGTTTGCCTGGTGGAGGGGGGGAGGCCGTGTGCCGACCGCGACGCGTTGGGTGCCCTGGAGCTCACTGTCTTTTTCTGCTTTTTCCACAGACACGATACGGAAGTGCAAGGCGGAGTCCCCGGTGAGTGAGCCGCCGGGCCGGGGTTCTCGGCCGGCCCCGTCACTCTCACCTCGCAATTTGCATGCGTTTTTTTTTTCACTGCGCATGAAGCATAATCTTGTGGTTGATAGCTTTAGTCATCGGTGATGCCGCTGACAAATGCATGATTTTACCCGTCGTAAAGACTTAAACCGCATATTATTTCAGGCCCGAGTGATATTTGGAAGTTCTGTTAATAGCTATGCTATGTCCGTGCTGTGTGTAAAGCCGTGTGAATTTGCTGCCACATAATCCTGAACAAAAATAACTTTTCCACTAGTTATCCCTGCTAAATATGCACGGTTGGTGTAGCTGAACCTCATTGCAAAATACGGGCCGGTTATCGGCCGAGTTAATCTGTAACTGGTGAGCCGCTGCACACACAACCGATCCTAACTGTACACATAAATTGGTCCTCAGTGACGAGGTGCACCGAATGACGTCATCTCTGACGCTGAGCTCATGAATAATGTATGAGATCAACTAATTGCTGCCTTAGACAGTGGACAGAGCAGTGCTGGCCTCCTTCAGAGATGGATGTGTATGAATGTAACATTTGGATGTCTCCCCAGCCTCAGGAGAGGAGGAAAAGGACTGTAGAGGATTTCAACAACTTCTGCAGCTTCGTCCTGGCTTATGCTGGCTACATTCCCTCCACCAAAGAGGTGCGTTTCCTGTTTCGATGACTGTGTCTCAGGGACAGGTGTGGCTGAAGCTCTGTTTGACCGTGTCAATCCCCCCCCCCCCTCCAGGAAAGGCCGTGGTCCCCAGCATCCTCCAGCTCCCCACACAGCTCCGGAGCCTCGGGCGAGGGGGGTGTCGGGGCAGTTGGCGGAGGGGGCGCAGGCTCGGACATGCGCACCATCCACACGTTCGTGCGGAAGGCACGTGCCAACAAGGGCAAAGCCCCCCATCACCGGCCACACTCGGAGGGCACTGCGCTAGACAAGATGCGCTTGAAGGACTCCCTGTTCGAGGGCCGGCCGGGCAGCAAGGCGGAGCACAAGAAGGACAGGAAGCTGAAGAAGCTGTCCCTGGGCGGCGAGAAGAGAGCGCGCATCAAGCGCAGCAAGAGCCCTAAGCTGCCCAAGGGCCCCAAGAAGCTGAAGAGTTCAGTGAAGAGTGAGACTGACTCAGAGACAGGCCCCACTCACAGAGAGGAGCTGGACACAGGGGAAGACGCGTCGGATCAGAGCATGCAGCTGCCGCGGCCGGATCTCAAGGGGATGCTGGAGGAGGAGTCGACCCGAGAGGCGGAGATGAGCTCGAGCGAAGGAGAGACGTGGATCGCCGACGAGGACATTATGGTGGAGTCGGGTGAGTGTCGCCGGGATTGGTGGGCTGGGAGGGTCAGGAAATGCCAGGCGGACATTAGTTTTTGCCCGAGTGTCAGGATTTCATTCATTCAAATTTTTACCAGAAAATTAGTGCAACCTGGGCATGTGTGGCTCAGTATATTGCAATTGAAAAGGACATTGGTTCAAATCCTAGGACTGGTGGAGGGATCTCACTGTTGGGCCCCTGAGCAGGGCTCTTAAGCCTCAATTGTTCCAGGGACTGGATGACCCTGCTTTCTCATAAAAGAAGTATGACACTTTGATTAAAAGTGTCTTATAAATAAATAAAATGGAAAATGTCTGCTGCATGTGTGTCTGTGTACAATGGTGTGGAATGGCAAGCTTCTCAGTTGAGCCAGCAGGGTGCGCTGCACTGCTTATGTGTGATTTCAAGGTGGTTTAGTGGTGTGGGGAGGGATTTTTCACTGCGATGCTGACAGTGCTCCTCCGGTCCCCAGGCGACGACTCGTGGGACCTGATTACCTGTTACTGCGGGAAGCCCTTCGCCGGGAGGCCTATGATCGAGTGTAACCAGTGCGCGGTCTGGGTGCACCTCTCCTGCGCCAAGATCCGCAAGTCCAACGTGCCGGACGTCTTCTACTGCCACAAGTGCAGGGACTGCCGCCAGGACCGGCGTCCGGCTCACAGGAAGGACCCCTGAGCGGGTCGGGGGCCCCCTGCCGTCCCTTCCTCCGCGCTCTGAGATGGGTCACACATCCACGACGCCTGCCCACCCTGACCCCGTTTCTGAGAAACTATCCTTTGGTCACCTGTACGTGGTACTTTCCTGAAGCCCTGTCCTCTCTGTGGGAATACAAGGTGACTCCCCTGCAGGGGGAGCTCTGGAGCACTGCTGGGATACCCCAGGATGATGATAATCTGCCCTGTGTGGTCAGTGTTACCTGAAGTATCGAAAAGACTATGATCAATGCCCATCCGGGTGGTCCGGCAGGGAGTTTGGACTTGGCGCTAATGCTAGTGTATCGACTCAGCTGTTACACTGACGCGATGAACAGACGCCACATACTCTTATGGAGACATGTAAAGCAGTAACCAAAAGCCATATCCTCAACTATCCTACTGATCTCTTTGTCTGTTACTGAGGCTGCATGGATGTCTGACTACAGTTCCCATGATGCAACAGGCTCAGCTCAGTTTGCAGTTTCTGACCTCATGCCTCGTCCCAGTTCTTAGCAAATGAGTTATTCTCTAGGTTCCGTATGGGATGAATCGGACCTGTTGGAAGCGAATAAATGAGTAATTTGCAGCTGTAAGCTGGTGGGATGTGACCCTGGTTCTATGCCAGGACGATGTTCTTGTTTGGTGTCCCGGGCTGCAGTGCAGGATCCCGGGACTCGTCGCATCACTCTAACAGTCTCTGTCCCTGGGCAAGCAGAAACCATCAATATTTTTTGATTGTACAAAAATGCATTCGATGGGTTTCTGCAAAGCTGCAGACAGCCAAACTGCCCTGCTGATGGGGTTTGTATTGTACGTTTTTAATTAAAAAAGAATCTGCTTTTGTGTCAGACAGCCTGGTCTCAGGTATCGTATCCTAACATTGGAGGACAGTAACTGAGCTTCTCCCATAAATCCCATGATTGAAATTCATGTAAAATTTCTTTAGTATTAATGTGGGGCTGAGTGTACTGGCACTCCTAAAAGAGACCCCCTTTCATAATCGCTGTTATAATTGTTGGTATCATGAGATGCTATCTTCCTTTCCTCTACAAACCTAAGTTAGTCTCCATGTCTCCGTAAGTGCAGCTTTGATGTTTAGTTGAGCTTGCTGGTATTAACCATAATTTAGGAGTTTGCTGTTGTGAAGAGAATCAGCTGAAATGTGTTGATGTGAGTTGAATGAGCTCGTGGGTCAATCCTGGCCGTAGAAGTTCGGGGGTCTCCCCCCTGTAGTCCTCACCGATTGCCTACTCTCAGAAGAGCGGCACGTAAGCACAAAATGGCTTGTACATGTCGTCAGTGGAGCGTCTGGAAACAGCTGCTGCTTTCGTCCACTAGAGGGAGCAGCATTGACAAGGTGACGCATACTACAGGTAAACTAAACGCGGTTCTCCCCTGCTTCCTCAAAAACTCGTCTCTTCACATTTTAACAAATAGACCTATACTTATATAAACATACAAAACTGGGAGAGCGTGAATATTTTTATATGATTTCAAATACAGGCTTAAACACTTTCTCGATGCATCGTGGCACATTTTAAGATTGTTTCAGCGTTTCGCAGTTATGGGTGCTTTGTGGTCAAGGCTGGTTGTGTCTTTGAAACGCGTTGAAGATACCGGACCGCAGAGAAGGGAGGCGTTGCAATTGTAATTTAATGGTTCTCAGTTTTTGCTTTCCTTTGTCCTGTAAAAAGAGTTGACTGCTCCGGAAACAGTTTAGAATCACCATTATTATTAGTTTATGTATCTAACTTTTGAAAGCCTTTTTTTTTTCTTTTAAATTATTTTGTGTATAGAAAAGTTGACGCTGCTGGTTATACCTTCCTTTTCGTTTGGGTTATGTCGCTATGGGAGTTTTGGGGAGAGTCGTGCCCTTGCCCGCCACACTGAACATCCCTCGTTTTGGTACATTTACTTTAAGTCCTTCCAATATTTGTAAATATGTCATAAATGTAAAAGAGCGGAAGAAAGCCAAGTAAATGCTATATTTTTGGCATCATATATTGTTTCTTTAGTAACTGTAGCTTGAGAAATAAAGACTTTGCTTTCTTTTCGAGGAGTTTGCGTTTGCTTTGTTTGGTACACGCCTCATCTATTGGAAGTATGAAGTGTTTAATTCAAGTCAATTATCCTTCTTACCAGTTGGCCTTATTGTCCAGAAGGGGGCGTTTGGCTTTAAGAATTTTAGGAATCCGAATATGAGAAACTTCGTAGTCAGACTTAACGAGGGAGGAGGTGGGACTTACAGTAAATTCGTAAAAAAGGACGCTACCCACTTTGAACGCTGGTACCCTCCAGACGAGAAACTTACCTCTTTTGCTAAGGTAAGTTACCGTTTTCGCGTTTTGCACCAAAGTCTCAACACAGAAGCAACAGAACAGGGAGTGGAAAAATAAAGCATTAACCCCCACGCACAATTTACAATAAACTTAATATGCCTTTCTATACTATTTATAGTGCGGAAAAGTAGATGGTAAAGATGTATTTTATATGATTTTCATATGGCGGCGTTTGTTTAACCTGTTGCATTTTTGGGAAATGGTCTGATAATAAGTACAAAAACGAGCTTTTCAGGAAAGCAGGCGGAGCCGACCACCAGGACTCTCGCGTCTTCTAACGGAGATGTAATAATGTCAGTTTTAGCACTCCGCTATCTAGTGCGCGGTCACTTTCATTAAAAACTGCATTTTGCGTTCGGTGGGTTCACTGTTTCAGTCGTTCAACGTGCAAAAGTTATTGTTTACCAACTTCACGTTGCACTTTTAAGGCTTGTTTTTAATTCCTGCTTTGTTGTGGCGGAGATTGTACCCAGTAAATTCCAGTGATTAACGGAGACTCTCCGAAATGTCTCCCTTCCCACGAAAAGAGACATTTAACAATAAACTATAAACTCCCATCCTCTTTAGTGTTCTTTCACTGTCCTTTCAACGTATTTTATTAGTAGCCCAGAGAGATGTCATAATATGGCTTGCATTTAAATATCAGTATCGCATTCTATCGCATTCTCAAGAAGTCCAGTAGGTCTATTATTGTCACGGGTATTGTGATACTTGGACCAGTAGGGGGAGCAGCATTGACAATGTGATGCGTATTACAGGTAAACTATACACCACTCGTGTAATTCTGAGGTAATCCCTAATGTAGGTCTATTCTAGGTGCTGACCTAAATTAACTTGCCTGTTTAAACACTGGGCCAAACAAGCGCATGTTCATCCATCTGTTTTTTTTTTTTTCTTTTTCCAGTTTCTAGATTATTTTCTTCTGATTAACAATGTTTATAATTTTTAAGATCAGTGACACAAACGTATGAGCTTTAATGAATGTTGTGTATCACATAAATATCGTTATCACTATGCGCTTTTGGCACTTTGTTTCTCTTTGACACGTCGTTCTCCGTCTTTAGCCTGTTTAATTGCACCCAGCCTGTGATGGAGCAGACCGGCACTCTCGTAGGAGTTCCCCCTGGACTGGAGTACCTGACTCAGGTGTGTTCAAACTGTGCTCAGACACCCAGCTCTTCTGCTGTACATAGTCAGCAAAACCAGTTCCGGGTTGGTTTGTTGCAAGCAAGCTAACGTTACAAACAGCTGTAAGCAAGGTCACACACCAGCAGTTAGTGTTCGCAGTCGGGTTCATAAGTATAGGTGCTACCTGCCACCTGAGATGTGGCCAAACTGGACTACATATGTGGGGTGGTGCATGCGGCTCGGCAGATTAGGAATCTGGTCCCTTGTCGGAGGGTTGTGGGTTCAAAGCCCATGGCCAGCGTTATGCAAGGCCCTTAACTCCAGACATTTTAGTGATGTCATCTTTAGTGGCCCACGGGGTGTCAGGTTTGCCTGCTCATCAATCTTGCTGCACCTTTGTGTCGACTGTGTCCTCTGTGCTTGCAGATCGACCAGATCTTGATTCACCAGAAAAAGGAGCTACTGGAAGGTATGGATGAGGCTCTAACGCGCTGCGGAACTCAAACAGTAGCATTTTCTGTGCCCTGCTTCTCTCCTCCATCCTTTCTTCTTGCTGCCATTTTCCCCTCCCTCTTTCCATTCCTCCATTCATTTCCACATCTCCCCCCCCCCCCGCCTTCCCCTGCTGTGGTCCAGTCCTCTGCGGCTTTGAGACCAACAACCAATATGAGATCAAGAACATCATGGGCCAGACCATCTACAAGGCGCTGGAGGACACCAACTGCTGCATCCGCAACATGTGCGGCCCGCTGCGCCGCTTCAACCTGATGATCAAGGACAACATGGACCAGGAGGTCATGCACCTGGTGCGGCCTTGGCGCTGCAGCAGCTGCTGCTTCCCCTGCTGCCTGCAGGAGGTGCGAGGACCCTGCATGGGGCGTCTGACCACGTTGCCTGCTGCGAATGCTAGAATGTCCCACTCTACCATGTGTTCCCAAAATGGGTCCTCTGGAGTGTGAAATGAGTACCAGTAAGGAACAGCAGGCTCCTCTTTATGTGAATCGTATGTTGGGACTGGCGTCACAGGAAATGCCTGCGTGTTTTTTGTTGACCTGAGGCTTTGAGGCTGGGATTTAGGAAGTCGGATGGTCTCCAGTAATGACCAAAAGAGGAAATTCAGAGTAGTGTGGAACAGGCATTATTCCCAGAAATCCAGGAAAAGTGTGTGCCTGCGTGTCTGTGTGTACGTGTGTGTGCGCGCACATGTTTGCGTCTCTCGGCAATCCACTGCATATCCGAGCCTGTTCTCTGCATATCTGTTCCAGTCATTCTTTCTGGCAACACTCAAAACTCATCCTGTTTAAGCTTTAAGTATCTCAGATATACCTTCTTACAGCCGATCATGACAAAGTGCAGACACAGCAGGTTTTCCTTCCGGGATGATAACTCTCATTTCTCAGCAGATTTGAAAGATCATTTTTGGGGGGGCGTGGTTCTCTAACCTTACCAGCTAATGGGGTTGGAAAGGCTTTGTATTTACCTCGTGTGACATGGTGACGTGCTGATTCACACCCGTGTCTGTGTGCCAGCTGGAGGTACAGTCGCCCCCTGGCACAGCGTTGGGCTATGTGGTCCAGGACTGGCACCCCATCCTGCCCAAATTCTCCATCCTGGGGCCTTCCAGGGAGACCGTTCTCAAGCTGGATGGTCCATGCCTGCTCTGTAACTGCTGCGGCGACGTCAAATTTGAGGTGAGAGACTGACATTTGCACGCAAACGGCAGGATGCAGGGGAACTCTCGACCACTGTCCCCAGTGCCTGTTCCAGTCAAATCCAGCTGCATTTCCAGATCCGCCCTCTTATGTTTGTTCGTTCAGCTTTTAGCTTTTGTCTGAGGTGACGTATGGTGAGGTAGGTAGTCTTGGTTCCATCATCCACCGTTGTTGGGCGTTTGCATCCGATTCCACTCACACCGGCCCACTGCCCCGACAGCTAAAGGGGAAAGACGGCCAGGAGGTGGTCGGGCGAATCACCAAGCAGTGGGGCGGCCTGCTGAAGGAGATCCTCACAGACGCTGACAACTTCGGCATCCAGTTCCCAATGGACCTCGACGTCAGGATGAAGGCCGTGCTGGTGGGGGCCTGTTTCCTCATCGTGAGTCACCTTAGCCGGAGTCATCATCTTCATCTTCATCATCCTCAGTCCAGCATTAAATACTGCAGTTCTGTTGCTCTACGATTGTTTTGCTTTTTAAAAATGCCGTTTTTTTTTTCTCATTGTTGGGCTCCACATCGATCGATCACGCAGTTCTGTGAGAGATTCAGCAGGTCTCTTGTCATCTCCCTCCAGGACTTCATGTACTTCGAGACAGCTGGAGATGGAGACAACTTGTGCTCGTGTCTCTTCTCTTGAGCGCCAGCCGCTGGAGGAGTCTGGCCGTGAAGTAACAGGAAGTGCAGAAGCGGCATTATTGTGGTAGACAGTCAGCTGGGTGTTACATCCACATGTTGTGCTTCCACTGCTCATTCATTTAAAACACTGTATTTCTACCTTCAATCCGTGTGCAGGTCAGTATGGCAGGATATCGTGGTATGAAATTCACCATTACCAAAGATCCACCCGTCCATCCATTCATCCATTGATTATACATAACTGCTTAACAAGGATGCCTACCAAAAGCATTATTAAATATTACCCCTTATATTATAGCAGTGTTACACGTATAACCAAACATATTTAGTCGAAATTTATATAGCAATTTCATACATGTTTTATATCGCACTTAATTTTTCCTACATTTCCTTTTTGACAACTAATTTTTAACAAGGAGTCCAAACCCTTCCCCCGAAATTTGCTTCAGGCTCCCGGTCGCATGCAAAATCTACCGCTACGGTCCGGTCTGCAAAATACACGAGAGACACGGTATACCCACCGCGATATCTGTTTCTGGCTGTGGGGCAGCTTGTCACATTTCACATTGCATTGGGCTGGATACTTCGGAATGGATGAAAATGGATGAAGCAGGAATAGTTGTAACGCACGCGATGTCTTAATTGCATCGGATTTAAATCCATGATTCCAACTTGCTATTTGTCTACTACTGACCGACAACACTTGGGCTTTGCGTTCTGAATCAGGGCGGGGTCGGCACGAGAGAGCTATTGCAAATACGGGCTATTCCAAGATACACTTCAATATGTAGTAATTATATTGCATGTAAATGTAGTACACGATGAAACAGTTATTTTGTATTTTTATATTGAATTTCAAGTTAAGGCATAAAATATATTTTCCCTTTACCAAAAATACCTGTGTAGTGTTTTTTAAGCGTCCAAAAGTGAATAGATACATGGGAATATATTTTACTTATTTTATAAATGAAACAAAATCGGTGGTATTTTAACGAGCCACAAAGGTAATTTAGCGACTTGATTCACTCAAAGGAAAAAAACCAAACTATCACGTGTGCCCACATGCCACATATATAGGCTACTGTATGTCGTTCATACGGTTCGATTTTCGCGGTACTCTGGTAGTCAGAGAAGAAAGGATTCAGAAACAGGATTCACCTCATTTTGTCGGATCTTTACATTCCCCTGTAATTTTTTGGTGTTATTTAAATGAGTCTATATCCATTTTTTTCAAGGCCAGAATGTCTCTTCCGCGCTATCCCCCCCATTTCTGCACCCCGCTAGTGACGCTGTGCGGGTTTACCCCCCCGGTTGACGTCAGCGGCGTGGCCGCCTTCGTAGTAAGGAAGCGCCGACCGTTCATTGAAAAAGAGGATTTAAAATCACTTAATATATGTCTAGGCACCGATGACTAGACGCGGGAAATAAAGCAGCGTGAAAGGGAAATATATCTTGCGGGAGTTTACAGTTTAACGGTGAGTCTGCGATGTAAATGCCCCCCTTCACACACACACGAATAGCTATGCACACACTCATATACTCCTGGGGGGATCCCCAGTGGTGCTGTGTACCTGTTAATTACTCAGCTCATTTCCATGTTGCACACTGTGATGATCAGTACGACCGCTCTCGCCTTTTTCATTTATTCCCCATCGGGGTGATCGGGTACGGGTCCGACTGCTGACGTGCTCCCCTCGCTGCCAGTGGCAGCGGAAACGCGCTTTTATTGCACAACTCTGTTGTGCATGTTAATGGAGTTTTAATCTCTTGCGTGAAATCTCTTTAATCTGTTGTCCGCTGACGATACAGGTGGTTTGATATGGCAGATACCGTCCGACCGCATCTTGCTGTTTGATGTATAATATATCCGTAACCATTCTGATATAAGCAAAGCATGTTTAGGTGCAAGGTCGCTTTTAATGCTGTGTTACTTGTGAGCTGTAAGTTGTGTGGAAGTGGCCGAATTAATGCTTTGTGCACATCTTCGTTTTAGGGTGGGAGACTGAATGGGCGCTGGCTCCGGGCTTCGCCTGGACGATGAGGGACAGTGGCGGCAGCCTAGCGCAGGACCGCTGGCGGAGTGAGCTGACCCTGAGGCAGAGACAGGAGGACGTCAAAGGGGGGCACCTCCTGGCCCTCGGCCCCACCTGCGCTGTCCCCAGTTCCTTGCAGCTCAGACTAGGTCGGCTAGAGCAGGAGGAGGTCTGGACAGGCGCAAGCACGGAGGAGGCGGAGGATGAGGAAGAGCAGGATGCAGATGTTGAGGAAGATGAAGGTGTTAACCTCACTGTTGAGGAGGAGGAGGGTTGGCAGGTGCCCCTGCATCATTTTCAAGGCAGGCAGCGGTTGCTCAGGTACGCAGCCCTGCGCTCACGTCTGGCCCTGCAGTGGAGAATGTGGCGCCGGCGAGCCCAGAGGGCGAGGACAGCAGCTCGGCGCCGGGCCAGGGGGCGCCAGAGAGCCAGACTGGGGGTACCAGAGGAGGCGCTGCTGAACGGGGACAGTCAGTTATGCGGTCAGTGAATTGGTGTCTTTACGCCTGTTCTTCCCCTTTAAATGCTGTGTCTGTAATTATAATGAAATGTGTTCCTGCTAATTCAGCTCAGTAGTTGTAGGATTAATTCCTGTTAATAGAACTAGTTCAGTTCCAGTTTCTTAATCACTAGGTGACCTACCCCCCAGATAAATGGCCCTCTGATGTCAACGGCTTCGCTAACCTGCCATGGTGTGCAGACTCTCCAGAGGGCTCCAAGGGGCATGTGTCACCCCCTGATTTCCAGAGCCCCCCGCGGGACAGGGACTTCCCCCAAAATCAGTTGACGGACAAACACGTTGCCTGTGTCCAAGGTAACCATGCAGACGCCGCCTGTTGGCATGTTCCTCTGTCCCTGACAGCATGTGGATGTTGTTTTACATGCAGAGTGACACTTATAGGAAATGTGCTGGGTGGAAACTTTGTAGCCATATTAAAATCAGGGAATGGATAGATGTGTTCCCATAAATAACGGTAGATGTCAGGATTTGGTAGTTTGACAGCGCCCTGAGCGCTCATGGAACCCTAACCCCCTCCCTTCCACACCTGGCATCAGGCCTCCTGAACGAGTTCCTGCAGCAGTATGGGAGCCTGATCCCCATCCATGTGGACGAGGTGGTGGAGAAGCTGCAGGAGATATTCAGCGAGAGCTTCTCGCAGCCTCACAGGTCCGTATTCTCGCCCCCTTGTGGTGGACTTCTGCAGCTGCGTTTTTCTAATGTGATTTGGGATTTGGTGTACATCTGGTCACATGTGTGACAGGGTAACACACTAAAGGGTAAAGTGCCTGTGCCATTAATCGCCTGCTGCCTGGGGATTGTGCAGACTTCCCAGTAGTGGTGACAAATGAAGCTTCATGAACCACTTGCTGTATTTCTTTACCCCACTGGATGGTGCTCTCGCTTCAAAAAAGGGCTCAATGCAAACCCCAAAGCAGAGCAAGAGCGCCATCTAATGGCGTAAAAAAAATACAGCAAGCGGTTCACGAAGCTTCATTTGACCATCACTGCTTTCCAGTAGCATTCCGGAAGAAAGGTTCCAGATTTGCAGATATTTTGAAAAGTGGATCATTGAGCATGGCCCAAAGTTAAATCTTATAATATGTGGTGAGAAATTATTTATGGCAGAAGAAGAGTTGTGTCAGAATGGATGTCTGGGTCCCTCTCGCCAGCTTGAACGGGCTTCTTGACAGTGTGGTTAAGATCACGGTCAGGTCACGTGTTGCGTTCCCCTCGCCCAAAGGAAGGTGGCAGTGCAGCATGTGATTCAGTCCTACCAGCGCCTGTCCGGTACGGCCATGGTCCGAGGGTTCCAGGTCACCTACAAACGTCACGTGCTCACCATGGATGACCTCAGCACCCTGTATGGTCAGAACTGGCTGAACGATCAGGTGGGCATGGGGACAGGAACCTGTCCTGCCTCAGCTATACTTCCAGTCATCCTGAGGTCCCAGTTTGAACAATTTCACCAGCTGTAGACACAGCAGTCGATCGCAGCTGGTTATTTTAACAGAGTAGTGTAGATTAAGGACCTTGTGTAAGTTAAGTTTGCCAACCTTCAGTCTTATATAGAGCACCCCCTGCTGGCCTATCAGGGAGTTGAGCCAGCTAGGTTTGTGCTGTTAATCTGCCGTCTGTCGTCCTCAGGTCATGAACATGTACGGTGACCTGGTGATGGACTCGACGCCCGAGAAGGTGCCACCCACATATGTGCACGAGCTGCCTGTGTTAATTCCGAGTTAATGCTGATGCTTGCGGGTTATATCAGTGCATCGAGAAGGGCTGAGGTTAAACACCTGCACTATTGGCCACATGGTTGTGAGTTCCAGTCCTAGAATGGGGTTCCTCTTTTTTTTTTGTGCAACCTCCCCCCCCACAGTTGTTCAGGGTCCATTCCAGGATTTCTAGGGTGGTGGCCATAATTCATACAGAGAGGCCAACCTTATCATTAGCCAATGATATGATTCAAATCGGTGAGTGACAGAGGAGGGGCTACTCTAGGGGCCAATCAGTTTTCAGCTGGCCCCGCCCCTGTATATGCTTCCTTGGTGACACAATCTCTCACTCCTCTTTAAACCCCCCCCACCCACTGCAGGTTCATTTCTTCAACAGTTTCTTTTATGACAAGCTGAGAACAAACGGCTACGATGGGGTCAAGCGGTGGACAAAAAACGTAAGTGCACCTCCTCGCTCCAGTAGCCCCCACCCCCATGGCTGCCTGGTGCCGCAGACACCCACTTTGAACATCCATTTCCCGCCCTGACAGGTGGACATCTTCCGGAAGGATCTGCTGCTGATGCCCATCCACCTGGAGGTGCACTGGTCTCTGGTCTGCGTGGACGTCCCTCACCGCACCGTCACATACTTCGACTCCCAGCGCACCCTGAACCGACGCTGTCCCAAGGTGAGGCCCCGCCAAGCCGTCTCTCCGTCACGCTCCTCTCCATCGTGCCGTGCTCGTTTGCTCATCGCCTTCTGCCGCCATCAGACTCTGTCCCCTCCATTCTCAGCACATCGCCAAGTACCTGCAGGCCGAGGCCGTCAGGAAGGGGAGGTGGGGCTTCGTCCATGGCTGGAAGGGCTTATTCAAAATGGTGGGTTCAGCTACGGTCAGCTGCATACGGGAGTGAGTGAGAGAATGCTGTGTGAACTTCTACCCCGTTAACACAGGAGCGGTATGTGCAGAACTGTGTGAAAGTTTTATGAAAATGATGTTCCGATGATCTTCATGTGTAAAAGTATGATATCAGGTCTGTCAAAGAGTGTTACCTATTTGAAAACCTCTCCTAAAGTCACCCAGTATTTCCAGCAAACATATAATACACCCATGTATTTTTCCACTCAACCACTAGCACATCTCATATGACGAATCAATAACTCATTTACTTTTTAAAACTAATTCAGTTAGTTAATTCATGGAGCTGGAAGTGAAATGTAAGGAATCCATGGAATGGCTGAGGTGCCCCTGAGGAGAGGTTTGGGAACTGAAGCAGTGTTCATCTAGCCATCCACAAGATACCAGTGACTTTTTGGAGAGCAGAGGAAATTTTTGTTCATTTTTGTTGTTACTCTTAATTCTCATATGTTCTAAATTGTTTTTTGTTCAGAGCAAACCCTTACTACCCAGATAAATAGCCTTAAACATTTCCTTTGACTGCTTAAAACTTCGGCACAGTTCTATAGCTCTGCGGGTTCGGATGCTGTACCTGTGGTCAGAAGGTCGCTGGTTCAGATCCCAGGGTCAGGGATTGGACTCATGGTCCGACCCATAAAGCGCATAAACGCCCTGGTCTTTAACTGGTAACCCGAGCGAGAGGCTGACCACAGGCCCAGTGGCGCCAGTCAGTGTAGGGATCTTGGTGCCTGGGTCGCTGGTTTGAAGCTGCCGGCTGTCTCTGCTCTTCCAGAACGTTTCCCGGCAGAACAATGACAGCGACTGCGGGGCCTTCGTTCTCCAGGTGAGCACCCATGCACCCACCCCCGGTAAAGACTCTTTAGTGGAGTGAATTAATAACAAATGTTAAAAACGACAAAATAAGAGCGCACTACTCAATGCATATTGTTGAAACACATACATTCTGAGATTTATTAGGTATTACCGGCTTACAGATGTAAACAGTCTCCTTATAAGGAGTTATGTTGCTAAGACTGAATTTGTGTGGCATGCAGACGAGGTCAAGAGGTCAAGCTTTATATCATGGCACGATTGTCGGTGCCAGATGTGGTGCTTCCTCCTCTCTACAGAGTCTCATGCTTGCAGAGAAGGTGTGATGAACAAAGGCGCAGTTCAGTGGTTGAAATGACGTCAGGCCAGATTGCTTAAAGCTAACAGGAAGTGCAAAAATAATAGCTCAGTGCAACAGTGGTGTGCAGAAAAGCTTCTCTGAACACATAGCTTGCAACTGAGTACACTAGGAGTACTATTTGGGTGTCCCTAATAAGGTGGGTACTACCCCGGTACTAACTGGGTGTCCCTAATAAAGTGGGTCCTCCCTGGTACTATCTGGGTGTC